CGCGCGCAGCGGGGCCAGCTCACCTCTGGTCCAGGAACATGACGGGCACGCCTGGCGCCGCTGCCACCCAGGATGGCGAGGCCCCCCAGCTCTCGCCGCCCTCCAGCCCGAGCTACGATCTTGCGCGCAAGGTGGGTGGGCACTGCGTCCAGCGCTGGGGGACACCTCTGCGGGTGCCGAGGGCCACCCCTCCTCGCGCCCTTTAACCTGAGACCCTGGGGCTCCCGGGACCCTGCGCCTTTCTGGCTGCGTATGTCCTTCCACCCAGCCAGGCAGCCGGTGTCCCCGAGAAGAGGGACATGGCCGCTAGGCTCATCCCAACTTCTGGTATCTGCGCTGGCTCTGCCAGGCCAGGGAGAGGAAGCTGGGAAGTAACTCCCAACCCAACTTTCTTCTGCCGCTCCCGGCTAATGTGAGTCCCCGGGGACCCCCAGGCTTCTCGCTGAGGGTTAACGCTCCTGGACGCAGGCACCCACCCTGGGTGCTAGGAAGCTGGATGCCTGGACACCCAGAGAGGCCAGCCCCTGGCGGCGAGCAACGGGGTTAATGCCCTTCTCCCAGCTAAGCTCTCAGCGGAGACTTGACATGGGTTCCTTAGGCCCAAAACTCCAGCCGCCCCCAGGTTCTGCCTCTTCCCTTCCCACTGCTGCTCCTTCTCCAGAACGCAGGCCCACCTGGGGGTTTCGGAACCTGAGAAGGATCCCAGTGATTGCTCACAGGTCCCCCCACCTGGGGAGTGGAAGCCCGCTCTCTGGATTCAGTCCCTCCACGGGTGACCCGTACAGAAGCAGGCGAGGGTGGCAATGGACGCTGGTCTGTGTGCCCTCCTTCCGGGCCCTGGGGGCAGCCGGGTACCAGGGACCCTGAAAGAGGTGCGAAAGGAGGTGGGCGCTCCCAGCCTTCTCCCAGGCTCGTGTTAGGTGGGCGGGTCGGCGCCGGTCTCAGGACGCAGGGCCTCGAAAGAGACCTGCGCTTTCTGTGCCTTGGTTTCCCCTCGACACGGGGGGCTCACTCTAGCCAGGAGCTGGGGCCTCCGCCCCCATTGTTTCAGGGGAAGCCACTCCGCAAGTCAGCCGCCCAGAGCCGTTGAGATAGGCGTCCTGTGTGGGCTCTTGGCAGGAAGTGGGCCCCTGGGCCTTCGGTGGGAGGGAAGCCGGGGGGAGCCAGCCCCAGGCTAGGGGGACCGCCTGACCTCCTGGCCGGACAAGCCAATGAGCTGTTTGCCTAGGAGGTGGCAAGGCTGGGCAGCTGTTTGTGTTTAGCAGTAGGTGGCTGGCAGCGTTTGCTCAGGGCAGCTGTGATCTGTAAAGCACACAGGAGCTCACTCTCCTTCCCTCCTTCTTGGGGGCTGGGACCTACGAGCCCAGGACCAGTGTGGCGACAGAGGGCTTCGGCCCCGCCATCCGTCCCCTGGGCCAAGTGGCCTCCACCAGCCTGGGCGCCCCAGGCCTGCCCAGGAGACTGGGTCCAGGACAGCCTGGGAGGAGCTCCTGGGGCTGCCTTAGAAGGGGTGGGGGCTGCAGCAGGCAGTGCCCCCCTGCACCCACTCTTCTGACGTCTTGGGTGCTTCATGCAACATGACTGGTCCTGGCCATTAACAGGCTCTAGAGAGGCCTCAAAGAGAGCCTCCCTCGGTCCTTCTAGCCACTGTGGGAACCATGCACAGTTCAGGAATCTTCCCAAAGCCCCCCTTCACAAGCCAGGACCCCAGCCTTCATCACCTTTTGCTCAGCCCCTTACCTTCCAGCACAGTAGCTCATCCCCATATCCCACAGGCTCAGCAGAGAAGCCTTTGTCAAGGTCAGAGCCTCAAGAATAACACAGGCCTAGTCCTTCTCCAACCCATTAACATCTAATGGGCCAGCTGGGAGAATTCCAGCATTAGGTCCAGACCTCTGTTCTCCAATATTGAGGGACATCCGGACAGGGGGCTCGCCTTCCCGACCCCTTGTGCTCCCCAGTGAAGGTGAGCAGAGACTGGCCTAGCGATAAGGGGGCGGGACACACCCCTCCGCCCCTCACTCGCTGCCTGACAGTGAACCAGTGATGCCAATTTGTGGCCATTTGTCCCACTTGGGAGGTTTCTGCTGAAAGAACTTCAGACTAAATGTCTCCCCACCTCGGTATAAAGTTGAATCTTTCCTGATTCATGCAATGTTTTTTAAAAAAAAAAATTTTTTTTAATTTTAAAGAGAAAGGACGGGAGAGAGAGAGAAAAAAAATATTCATGAGAGAGAAACATCAACTGGTTGCCTCCAGCACGTCCCTTAGCAGGGATCGAGCCTGGAGCCCGGGCATGTGCCCTGACCAGTAATCAAACCGATGACCTCTTGGTTCATGGGTTGATTCTCAACCACTGAGCTACACTGGCCAGGCCATGCAACCTTTTTATAAACACATAACATCAAATAAAGAAGAAAAAAAAACATGTAACATCATCAGAAACTTCCAAATAAGTG